CCCGTTTTATTTTTATGAAGGATGCTTGTACTCATGATTAGTGAAAAAGACCTTTACATTGACTCACAATGACCGTTGCCTTAACCTAACCTGTCCCCGCACATTCATTTCCATTTGTTCTGAATTTGTAACAGTGAAAATGTATTCCCATTGCTAGTTTTCGATGATTTGTTAGAATATGCGTATTAGTGCATATATGTACATGTACAATGTAGGCCCTACCTAACACTAACAGCAGTGGAATCATGTTATAACAAGAAATAGGAGACTGGTGGGAAATATGCGTTATAACAGGATTCTCGTTATAAGTCTGTCTCCGTCGGATTATGCGATTACGCGGCCGCGTTTTTTTTCCGCATAATCATTAATTCTGAAACATTTGCATAATTTGGGATTCCCCGCGTTTTTTCACGATTTTGTTGTTGTTGCATATTTCACCAAACAATTTAACTGAAAACCTCGCAGTGTGACTAAAGCTCCAATCATAGTAAGTAATAAGTCTCATTTATTTGAAGTTGATTATTTCCCTTGTTAGGGGAACTTGGGGGAGAGGAGGTGGAGGGGGGGTTGGTAGCAGGGTTTGGGATTTTGTTCCCTGAGCCCGTTCAATTTTTAAATCCATCAAAAGTTGTTCTCATGTCTGCTAATGTTTCACGTTTGACAAGTGTCCCTGGTTTTAGTGATGTGCCAGCATCAGTCAGAGGTTCCAGATGTCTTTCTTTCTTCTTTTTTTTCTACATTTCTATCCTCTATTCTAAACAGCTGAAAGTTACAGAGATTATATTTTTAGGTTATTTTTTTTCGGACTGATGTGTATTGTTTCCTTTCCAAATACATGCACATAAAAAATCACTGATACTGATGATATGTTCTGTTTTCCATTCTTCTGAATCAGGGTGGCCAGGGAAATTTTCCTCCTAAAAATCCTACCACACCAAAAAAAAATCCTACCACTATAGGCTATAGTAGTAGGATTTTTTTTAAATAATAGGTCAAGTTGTTTCTTGCCATTGTCAGTGTTACGGCTCTCGTCAAAGAGAATCACGTAGAAGGGGCTATTTCGTACACATCTTGGGATAGCACTACATCACCGGGGCAATCCCAATTAATGTTCCAAGTCCAAGGTAGCCAAGTTTTGTTGCAACTACACTGGAAATTGGAAACATCTCATGAATGGGAAAACTCGTGTCAACAACTGCTCTAGTTGATTACTATTATATTATTACTGTTGGTGCTCCTTCCTTTCAGTACCTCTCACATCACTTGTTCTGTTCTTGGTACCACACTGGCTGGTTTGGGCTTTCACGTGTTTTTGAGGAATTATGGGGACAATTCGCTCCTTCGCACTACGGGGTGCCCGACGCCGCCCACATGCCCACGGGCACCCCGTCCGTAGTGCGAAGGAGCGAATTGTCCCCCTAGGTGATTTGTTACTTTTAGTCGTGGAAGAAAATTTCGGTGTTTTTAATGAAATTTTATTATTATTTTCCCAAATTTAGCGGGAAATTGGCTAAAATTCGCGAATTCACAAAAATGATAAAAGTTGCGCGCGTGAATTTCTTAGGACAGATTGGTCAACAGTGGGAGGGGCCTACGCAACATGATCGGTTGGAGGGACTACCTAACAACGACAGGTGATTGGATTATGACAGCTCGCCCACAACGCCACGGGCCAGTGCACAATTTATGACAAACCATGATGGAGTCGCTAAAGTGGCCGTCTAAGACAGGTGTTATTGCTTAGTGTGATAGGGGTTGTGTGTTATTAAAATATGGTGGCCGCGGCGGACAAGTGCCCGTTTTACGCAGTCAAGTTATATAGAAAAAACGCAAGGGGGGAAATGGAAAGTGTCCGTTTGTGCAGGTGGCCGTCAGGGCAGGTTCGACTGTATGTGATTGGTCTGTGCGCTGTGCATAGCAACAGCAATATTCCGTTATAACCGACTCGTGGGACGGTCTGATATATTTTATTTACAAAGATAAAGAATGAGAAAAAAAACAGGGTTTTAGAATAGTCTCTTTATAACAGACTTCTCGTTTCAGGACTTATAAGCGGACTCCACTGTAGTATTGTTGTAGTTGTAGCAGGACCGCAAATATTTTGCTACTTGCGTGGTGTGGTTACACACACCATATTCCGTTAAAAAAACGTATGGGTTTACTCGACAGTTCAACTTGAACAATTCTAACTGCAGGTGTGTAGCAGGCTTTAGACAGTCAGAAACAACAGAAGTAAAGAAGGACGACCTACCACTACCAGTGGCACCCTCCAACTAAGCACCAGTAAGAAAAATTCAAGCTTTTCGAGATGAGACTTCGAAGCTTCCCTCCTAAAACTAAAAGTAAAAGATCTAAATACTAAATTGTGTCCATAGCGTAAAAACACTCTCACTAAGTTTAAGTTTATGAAACAGAATTTGGGTAGAAACAGAATTTGCCTAACCACCACTCAGTTCATTTGGAAACGTAAGCGTCCGACTCTTGCTCAAGGACGCTAGTAAGGATAATAATATACCGCCATCAATACAATTTACATAATTTAGGAGGTGGGCTTACGGTGTTAGTGGCAACCCAGGTTGGGAATTCAACATCTCAGTCTCAGCAGAAAGACTGAGATATTCGATAATATCCAGCCTAATCAGGAATCAAACTGGTCTCCTGCTCAAGCTAGCGACAATGAAGCGCTTAACCGCTACATCACAGACAACATAGTAGGCCTACAACACATGAAATGGCCGACATCTTCTTCAATTCCCCAGAGGTAGTTCCTACTTTTCATGCAAGCACCTTTATTTGCATCAACACCAAAGCGCATCTAGCCTTTGGCCCCTCTCTCCTTTCCCCGCTTACACTTACAGTCATGAAACATCACAAATGGTGTATAATTTAGGTTTACTGCGGGTCATGTACCACGAAATTCTTTGCGCTGGATACATCATAGGCCTACATGTTGGTACATGTATTGCTTTGCTTCATTTGTATTTTACTGCTGTCTCGTCTGTTTGCTTTAGAATTTTGTTCATGGTTGGACCACTCTACAACTTACACTTATAGCCAAGCATCTATCCGAATACCTGCTAAAAGAACTTTTCTACTGTGCACCAAGAAATCAACTCAGGAATTCATATAATAATCCTTTAGTTTTAGTAGAGGGTTTTACGGCGCTCGCAACTGCATAAGGTCATAAGAGCGCCAGAAGATTACAGGTGTTACAAGAGAGTAACAAACATAAAAAAGAAGGGGAGATAAGGACGACAGATGTTTGATAGGAAAGAAGAAGCAAAACACACCAGAGCACCCGCCAACCACCCACATAATAATCCTGCTACAGCCACATTCTTGTTAAAACAATATTTTCAGTCCACTAAAAACCCTTGAAGAAAACATAGCTTTTGCCCCTGTCAATTTTAAGTCAACATGAGCCTCTCCCTGCAGGGTTCTTGTTCCAAGTCCAAGCAATCTATTAAAGTATTTCAGAGGGCTTCCCATTTTTACGACCCCACAGGATGCTTGAAGAGATACAAGGCGCTGATCAGAAGATTTGAGGTGTTACAAGACAGTAACAAACATAAAAAAGAAGAAGGGGAGATAAGGACGATAGAGGTTTGATAGGACAGAAGAAGCAAACCACACCAGAGCACCAGCCAACCACCCACGAACCTCTACTAAAACAAAAGAAGAGATACAAACGTATCAAATAGTAAACAGCTTAGCTTTAAATGCATTGAAACTAAAACCCCACAGACATGGGACATTTTTTTGGTAAGAGTTTTATAAGGCACTTCGATACAATAAGGCCAGAACTGCCGAAGATTAGTAGAGTGTTACAAGAGAATAACAAACACAAAAATAAAAAAAAGGAGAGAAACAGGACAATAGAAGTTTTATAGGAAAGGAGAAGCAAACACATCAAAGCATTTGCCGACCACTGGAGACATTTTTTGCCAATACAAACATAAACAAAAAATCAGACAAAGACATCTTTGACTTTACGTCTTAACCAAGATTTATTGACACAGCTAAACTTTTTATTCCTTCTTGGCACCGCGTGCCCTCTTGATCACCACGGGCTTCTGGCTCTTGAGGATGGCGCATGCCCTCCTCACGGCAGGGTTGATCAAGTCTTTACGGTAGTTGTTGGCCTTCAGGCTTTTGCGGATGGTGGCCACGGTCCTTCTGGGGTCTCTCTTGAGCTCAACGCGGGTCACGTTCTTGGCTGGTCGGCGCAGACCTGAGCAGCAAAATACAGCAAATGGTTTTTGTAGATAAAACAACCTGATTAAAAAATAAGTAATTTAGAAAGCAGAGATACATTTTTAACTAGACTAGACACTTTTGTTAGTTTGTGTAAAGAGAAGCACCTCGACACGATAATGGTCATTTAGTGGCTCCCTCCAACTACTTGCATCAGACAGTAGAACCACAGATTGATAACAAAGAAAACTACACACTAACATTGGGGGAATATTCATCCAGAAAGGAACGAATGACAAGGGTCTGTTTTATGGAGGAAAATTAAAGACGCGAGTGAAGAATATGAAGAACAACTACAGTAGTCTCCGCTTAAACGCACCGATCTCAGGAAGGCTCATATGTGCGTTTTAACATGCATCTAGTTTCCTTGATTTATTACAAGTTAGAGAGAAGGAAACCAAAAAAGGACAGATAAGGCAGCAATGCCAATCACAATCAGGCTTTCCCGCGCTGCGAAAATTTGGTCCCCGTTTGCGTGTCAATTTCTGGACCGGGTTGTAGCGCAGGTGACTAACTTTCTCAACCTCGGTCTGCTCTATTTCTGGACCAATGTGAATGAAAATCGGCAACCAATCAGAAAATAGGGTAAACTAATGATATGTGGACGTTCACGTTTGTACACATAAATTAACATATGTGAGGCACAGTTGTGGAAGCAGGCTCTCGACAATGTGTGAGCATGTAGAGTTATTGGTATCATCTTAAACTTAAAGCCTGTTCACTGTCTTTATTTGGATGAAAAAAATATTCATTTATCTTGAATACAAGTTGAGATATTTGTCAATGAAGGAGGTGGGGGACACCTGTTTTCAGAGGCAAAATTAGTGAGAAAATGGCCGCCAAAGATTAGTTTATTTCCTTAACTTAAGAATAAGAGTCCGTAGTAACTGAAAAATTTACATTTTTGGTGCCTTCAATCAACATTTTAAGAAAATTCTGCACAGAAATGAGTTCTTTAATGGGCATGAAAGGTGTTGAGCCAAAAAACAAAATTTAGATAAAAACTTACGAACCTGCAGAAAAATGCCAGTTTCTTCACTTTGATTATTTTGACGAGAGCCTGATTCCACCATGCTGCCTCACATATACTTTTGGTGTCGGGAACACTTTCACATCGGGCGTACCGAAAACTATACGGAGCTTGAATCTCAACGCCGAGATGGTAATAGAGGTCTATTTATCCTCTAGAGTGTGCTCAAATTTGAACGTTCTGTGTTGAGTAGTTGTTTAGACCCGATCACACATGCATGACTACCCCCCCCCCCATACCCAAAGCGGCTCCGCACGGAGATCGGCCATTCCCCCCACTCTCGCAGAAATGTATGTGACCCACAAATCTCCGCATGACTATTCCGAGCCCGTTCATTGGTCACTTGAAAAAGGGCAATGGCGGGGGCGCGCATCCGGTTGTTTTTCTCTCTGTTCCCCTGTAGCATCCCAATGGGGGTATACTGAGGCGCGCTTATATATCTCGCCTCGGGGTGTTCGCATCTCAACGGGGGGAAAAAGAATTTTTAATTGTTCGGAATGCCAGATCGAATTAACTTATCTTTTAAGGTTGGCATGGTCTAAAGTCATCAAAAATAGCTTTGTCATTATTTAGTCACACTGCCAACATATTCTTAAAGATCCCATGTTGTGACACGAAGCTATAAATAAATAAAATGGACTCACCCCGACACACTTTTTTTTTGTGCCAAAACCGTAATATGAACACCAAAATTTTAATTATAACAAAATAACTACCAAATGGTTAGTAAATCTGACACCAGAAAACACATCGGGTAGCCAAGTTTCTCTCTAACACCCCAATTAATTACCCAAATATCGTCAAATATCTTATAGAATCTTCTACAGCATGGTCCACTGTTTAGGAGTATTTTCCATATTTCGTAGACCTTTACAACCCAATAACTTTAAAAAAATTTATGAACCGATTCTTGAAAGTCAAGAAGCATTATTCTTAGAACTGAAAATTCTTTCTTAGGTGCCAAATATAAAAAGGCTGCGAAAAATTAAATTTTCATAAGCATGCTAAATAAGGACGCTAGATGTTCCATAGGAAAGAAGGAGCAAACAACACCAGAGCATCTGCCAACCACCAACAAAGCATGCATTAAGGCAGAGACTACAGTTTACTTTTAAAAAAGGAACAAATTTTCTCAGGAAAGCAAAATGGATTACAAAAAAAGCACATAATTTGGAATAAATACAACACTGCGCCTATGGGGGCCGTTCACAAATGATGTCCTCTCAGAGGGTAAAATCACTCACCTTTGCTTTTGCGGGTGACAACAACAACGCCCTTTCCATCCTTGGCTGGCTCAACACCAACAGTTTTTCTGTGGATGAACCCGTTGTAACGGAAGGAGTTCTTGCTCTTCAGGTTGTTGGGTTCCTGGAAAAGAAAGATAATATTACAATATGAGTTACTTCATCTCTACACTCTTGCAAACATATAAACAAAAAACCCACCCAACAAACCCCTTCCTCTGGGCTCCAGACACTTTCTGCAGCCTTTCTACTGCTACTTCTTGGCTCCCTCTTACTGCTGTCTTTCAGCAACACCCCTGATCATCTGGGAGGAAAGATCTACACCTAGCCTTTTCAGACAAGGGCAAAAAATCTTGGAGGTCCAGTGTGCAAGTTGCGCACGTTAAAGATCCCTTGGTGGTCTAAAATCATTTGGCCGCCACCTGGGCAAAATTCAAAATTTCATACCAACTGAAAATGTGCAGGCCTAATGTATCCCGGGCACCCATTTCTATGACCTTATACAGTTGCGAGCACCATAGAATACTTAATCCATGTGAACTTCAAAGCAATATAATATATATTCACACTTTGAAACACCAAATCCTCTTGTTGCAGATTGTCATTAACGGAGCTACTCAAAGGTAAATTCTCAGGCTCCTTATTTTGCCATAATTACTGAGTGTTGCTCAGTCTGGGATCATGCTCCTCTGGATATAAAAAAAAACCCAGCCTTTCAGCCACATCCCTAATCTTCTAGTATGAAAGATCTACACTCTAGTCTTCTCGGAAAAGGGCGAAAAATCTCAGAGGTCAGGTGTGCAAGTTGCGCATGTTAAAGATCCCTCGGTTGTCTAAAATTTCGACAAGATAGGCTTTGGCCACGACACAGGAAAAATTCAAAATTCCCCACCAATTGAAAATGTTTGGTGTGTCCCACGCGCTCATATGACCTTGAGCAGTTGCGAGCGCTGTAAAACACTTAAACCCCCCCCCCCCCCCCCCCCCAGCTTTCACCAAAGGCCGGCTCTATTTCTTAAAATGTTCGGGAAAATAAACTTGAACTTTATTTCTCTAAATGGTTTCCGTTATCAAGCTTTGTTGATAACAAGAGATTGAAGTGGCCCGTGTGTGAGGGAGTGAACGGGGGGAGGGGGGGGACTGCGTGGGTGACTAAATGCACTATATAGGTTACTGTCAAGGTCAAGCAGTCTGTTTTCACGCAGTACCTTTTGAAGGTATTTTCAAATGAAGTATAGTCCGGGAAAGTTGCCCAAACGACAACTGATCTGAATATTCAGACATTTAAAAATCTCTAGATCTAGCTCTAAAAATTGAATTCGATGCCAAAAATGCTTCCCCCCACTCATTGCAGAATGACAATAAAATTATGAAAAGGATGTCGCCTAAATCTCGCAAGGTAGTGTCAATTGCCACCGAGGATCTCTTTTGCGTTGGTGGGTAGATCTAGCTTATTGTGCTCGAGTGCTCGATGTTGTGCGTTCGCCTCTCTGTCCCTCTGTGTTTGTGTTTGTGTGTGTGTCTTTTTCCCACCCCCGTCCCCCGATATAACGTGAATTTCTGCTTGAGTTTGTGTGCGTTTGTGACCTTCTAGGCCTACTTCTAGAATTGCTTGTGTTGGTTCTACACCAAAGTGTAGGCTAAGGCTAGCCTAGATCTAGATATACGTCTCATTGAAAACAGGCCAAGTTGGTACCGTAGCTCTGGACTAGATGCTCGTCCAATGAAATTAGTTGAGAACAAATTGACCCATTAGACACACATTATGAATAATGCTAAAGATAGTGTTGTTTTCAGACTTGACACCGCTTCCCTCGGTGGCAATTGACACTACCATCTCGCAAATAACATAAAAATCTCGAGATCAGAAACCGTTTCAAGGACGAAAAATTACCAAATACAACAGGCAGCGACTGGGTTTCAATAACAGCAGTTTGCATTCTACTTTCATTACTCATTCCAGCGTGCCCACTGATATTTATTGAATTGAAGTAACAGTATTTTTTTACTTTCCCTCCCGTCTCACACTCAGCTACCAGTTGTCTATTTTCTATTATATATTGATGCGCTGAGCACGAATATCAACTTCACTTCCGTCGCAAATTAATAGTTTTTGAAATATTTGATTGTTTTTAACCGAGATAGACATGCTTTGGACCAATCGGGGGGTTCCAGGGGGGCCTGCCCCACTGGGGTAAAAGAAAACCTGGGGGGTTACAAGGGGGCATGCCCCCCTGTTTTTACCCATAATTTGATATTTTACAGTTAGATTTGAAATTGTCTTGAAAATAATTGATTTGCGACAGTTTTAGTGGCTTTATGTGTGATCTGCAGCAAACAGTACAGCAGTTTGACCCCTGACACAGTGCATCTGTGTGCGGGAGTGAAAGTAAAAATTTACCGAAGTAACTCTTGCTATCGGAAAGTTGGGTCCAGCAGTTTCCGCATAGTGCAACGGTGCAAGAGTTTTTCTGAACAAAACAAAAGATTGCCACTCAAGGCTTGGTACATGCTCGCATGTTCAAATAAAATCAGGACAATACAATAGGCCTACATATTCTGATCAGGTTAACATCCGTGCATTGGAGTCTGAATAGCACCGGGAGGCTAAGCCCCTATTAAAAATCGAGTCCGAATAGCTACTTCGTTCTCATCATGTCAAACAAGTTCTAATTATCAGCCTAGAGTGAAGTCCAAAGTTCTTTCAACTCTACATACAAAAATCAATAACTTACCAAGCTCATGTTCAGTCTACTCCTCTTCAACAAGAAGGAGGAGTTGTTGCGGATGATCAACCAGGAGAGGTCTGCTGTCGCCATGGCTGTTATCTGTAAAAATATTTTTGTAAGTGACAGAACAAGTCTACTCAGTTAAGACCTAACATCAGTAAACTAATTCCTGAAGAGTCATCTTTCCCATGAAATTTAAATTCTGAGAGCACCTTTCCATTTGCCACACTAAACCGCGTATCTAACTCGGACTGGCTCACCCAAGCCCAAATGCTAGATCTAGATTCTACATTTCACTTGTGCTAGAAATCTAGAATCTACGACCTAATAGACGTCTATCAAGAATCTAGATCTAAATAAACATTTAGCTTCCTTTGTAATAATGACTAGGAGAAGAACTGGACTTTTAGAGACTAGACCTTGTATTCAAATCAATTTGTATCACTGCTGAAGTCAACATCATACGATGACAACGTGAGAAGACAATCTCAGCACACTTGTCACCATATCGATAATAGGTCGGTGCATGAGGATGACACAAACAACTCATTTGAGAAGCCCGGAAGAGAATACAAATAAAACAGAAATGTTGTAACAATCATATTATCAAAAATTTATCAATTTGTCATAACGACATAGTTTAATTTCTCCTCGTTCAACGAAGAAAAATACTTTTATCGAAAAGCAGCTTTTATCACTCCACCTTGCATCCACTGTTCAGGGAGAAAGAAAGATCTACATCCGGTATATTTCAACTTCCGGTTTACTATTTGTTGTGTTGGAATTTGGAATGCCTTCCCTTCCCAAGTCTGGCCAAGCCTAGCCTAGGCCTTTAGTTTAGTTGGGCTTGTCGACAAGACGAGGATGCTTGAAAATGGTTTGATTTTAACTTTTGTCTGCGTCTATCTAGATCTAGATCTAGATCTATATCTAGATCTCAATTTTAGAACCTGTTTAAACGGTTTTCCTAATGCAGACCTACGCTTTTAAATCCCTCTTGACTCTTGATTTTTTTGTCTATCTGACCCAAACTTAGATCTAGAATGACAAAGAAGGGAGGTAATGCTCACCAGCAAAGAGAGTCGACCCATTCACATTCATTGTTTTTGTTTGGCCTTGCAAATTGAGCGATAGGCCTAGGCTAGGGGCCTGTTGAGCTTACAACTTGCATCTAGGGACTGCGATATCAGGCAAGATTGAACTTTGGTGGACCCAACACTGAATGATCAATGAAGCCGCAACTTTATCTATCTAGATATAGATCTAGGTCTAGATCTAGATTCTTTTGAGCCTCGCCTGGGAAAATTGAAGAATACTGGACCACTCGTCGTATTATTGTGTGAGAAAGGGGGGGGGGGGGGTGGTGTCAGTCCCCCCTGACAAACTTTTACTGAATAGATCTACCGGTCTGATTTCTTCATATATATATTATATAATTAATAACGGGAGGACTTCCGCAACGAGCGACCACGATGAGACAGAGCAGAATTTAGGGTTTGGGTTAGGGTTAAGCCTCTTCTTTATTGTGTTTGGTGGGGCGGTCGCTCGTTACGGAAGTCCTTCCAAAACTGAGCAAAACCATGAATTCCTAAGGTTGAGACATAGCAGACGCAAAAGTATTCCCATCTGCCGGTCCGGTATTCTTCAATCTTACCATTTTGTTGCCAGGGGTACCCCCCTGGAGACTACCAGTCATTTTGTCATTCAGCTGCAGTCAAAACGTTACAGTCATCTCGTCACGCCGGAAATCCACAAGGTTGAATGGAGACGGTCATTTCGTTCCACACTTACGCTTACGAACATCAAACGCGCATTGACATGGCAATCGCTCACGATGTTTGGGGGAGGGTTGGGGCTGTGTGTGGAAGGATGGGAGGGGGGGTGGGGGGGCGGCTGTGCAAGTCGTCGTGCCCACCTGATCAACTACACCGTTCATTATCTCTTTCAGGACGTATCGCCGATATATCGGCGCGAGTTCGTACCCCTTGCGGACGTATCGCCGATATATATCGGCTGTTATAGGGTGCCTCAGTATTGTTTTGTTATGTTCCGTCATTTATAATTCCTTTTTTTATTGATTATATTGAAAAGCCCGGAAAAGATTTAGAAAACGAAAACATCTAGTTTCACTTCGTCAAAGCGTGGGTTTGGGGAAAAACAAGTGAATTAGTTCTTGCGGTCTTGCAAAAAAACCCAATAAATATCATAACTCAAACAAAAATTGGAATATTGCTTTCAAATAAAAAGCTGTGCATTCAGAAAAAATTTTAGGATTACGCTCTTGGCCTGTATGATGTATGATAAGATAGCTGGCTATGCATGCTGATTTGCTTTCACATGTTTGGTATGTAATTTTTTCCGTCAAAATGTATTTTTCTCATCACCATCGCTTTTTCTAACCCTTGTAATACATACTTATGTTTAAAATTAATCCTTGTTTCATATTGGGATGTATTCTTCATTCAATTTCCTTCAATTTGATATCATATGTTACGTTTGAAGTGATGGTTATGCTTCTATGAATGAAGTTATTTTGTACACCACCTGCATAAGCCAAATCGAGCCACAAGTTAATTTTATGTCTAGACCCCCCAAAAAACTATGTCCGGAAAGAGTTAATATGTAGGCCTATTGACAATATATGAAATCTATCGAGTCAGATCAACAAAGTTTTAAAAAAATATTATTGATGAAAGGTGTGGTTGGATTAGTTCTGTTTCCAAAAAAAATTAGCGAATTATAGAAATGTACGGTACTGCAATTTTGCTAAAAAGCTAGACCTTTACTTTCAAGCAAAGCTTTAAAGTACTAACTCTTTACCAGACACTGGTTTTGCCTTATTTTAAAAACTATTGTTCAGCTTCAGTGCAGTTTAGACGAAGATTTAGTTTGCATTAATAATTTACATTTATAACTTCAAAATAAGCTTCAGGCTGATCCTTCAAGACTCTACCAGCATAATAACAATTTTGGAAAGAGATATATATATATATATATAGCGAAGTCATTTCATCACACATGATTATTGGGGTGTGACGAAATGACCGGTTACCCCCCTACTTTGGTCTAAATGATTACCTTTCGAAGCGCATGCCGATATGATGATGTGTGACGCCCAGTGAGCAAGAGAATAAAACCTAATTGAATTGCAAAACATCAAATTACGGTTATGGCCCCCTGAAACCCCCCATGTTATTATTGGGTCTGGGGAGGGCAAGCCTCCGTAAACCCCCTCCCCCCCCCCCTTTTTTATTTAAAGACCACCTGATATTCTCACCCCTGGTGAGAATAACTCATGACCCTCTATATATTCTCAGAATAGATCATGGCCCGTTATTCTCACCCTCCCCCCCCCCCCCCCCCCAAAAAAAAACCCATTGACAGTGATGCAGTTCTATATTTTTAAACTGTAATAGTTCGGCCTGCTTCAAGCATTCCATCCAATGAGTGCTCTTACAGAATTAAAGTCGGGATATCTCGGATATGGGATGTGGAAAATTACGATGCAGACTTATGAAACAATGATCATCTTAACCTGATCTTGGCTAAATTTAGATCTTTATTGGGGAAGATTGAAGAATACCGGACCACTCGTACATTATTGCGCGAGAAAGTGGGGTAGGTGGGGCGGGTGGTTGGGGTGGAGGAGGGGGGAGGAGGGGTTCAGGGGGGTCTCCCCCCTGACAAAATTTTAATGAACAGATCTACCGGTCCGAGATTCTTCATTGAGAGATATTAAAAACGGGGAAATTATGAATTCCTTAGGTTGAGACATAGGCAAAGTCAGTCCGCTGGTCCGGTATTCTTCAATCTTACCCTTTATTGAACAACACATTAAGTTAATATTTAGATCTAGATCTATAATTAAGTGGTAAATTTTTACTTTCACTCTTGCGTAAAACAGACGGGGAGAAGTTCCGCAATGACCTAATGTAATACTTAAATGAAGTAAATGTGTTTGTATCTTTTTTGTTTCAGAAGGCCTGATTGAAATGAAAGGGGATGAAAAATGAGTGAAACTACTGTCACTGAGATATCTGGGGCTTTGGACTTGAAAAGTGCCCTTTTGCCTCCTTCAACAAAGGATGTTTTGGGAGAACACTTACACCAAAAAGTGGCCGAGGTTTTAAAGATTCATTTCCCAAACTCCAAGGTAAGTGCCGGTAGCTCTCGTAGTTATGTTTTCTTTTAAATTATGCAGTCATGGATTATAATTTAAATATTGTTAAAGTAGACATGACCAGTATACCTCTCTCTCTGCATGTTAAATAAGATTATTATCCGAGAAGCGTATTCACTGCTTCTTTTCAACAGACAATAGTAATTAGAGAGAGAGAGATAGAGGGAGAGAGAGAGAGACAGAGAGAGAGAGAGAGATAGAACGGAAATGTTTTTCTATCTGTATAGAATTAATGTTTTAATGAATGTTTCTAGTTTTACTCACGTTTCAACTTTATTTTGACTGTTCGTGAATTTTTATTGCATTGTATATTTTTAGTGAACACATTTTCAACCTCACTGCGAGACTGTTTTTCTGGTATAAAATTTTACACATATGCATTTATATTATATGTATAGTACTTTGTTTTACGTACACATTTGTGTCGATTAATTTTTAAGATGTGATGTCTTTTTCATTGTAATGCGCATTGAGCATCTTTTAGGAAATGGAAATGCGCAGTATAAATGCTATTTATTATTATTATTGATACTAGTGTTTACTGTTCATCCTCATTTTTATCATTGAATGATGATGGCACATGTGGCTAAAGCTGGCCCATTCTGTACTTCAAAACAAAATGACATCGGATGTCTACATACATATATACAAGAGAATGATCTATGGCTCTAGTCTTAAGCAATGATATGTAGTTTCTGATTTGCCTTCACTCCATGTAGGATGATGTTGAATAAACTTGTGAAGTTTTATATGATAGTGAAAAGTATACTTATATTTATTATGACAATTGATAACAAGGTCAACTCCCATCACTCCTGTCCTTTGGTATGTTTAAGAAACTTACATTGTTTAAAATGTCACGTAGTGATGAAAACAGTTGATCGAACATGCCCTTTTGGAAACTTGTCCAAGACGGAAACCTGTCATAACAATCTGCCCATTTCCCCTTTGATAAATTCCTCTATAATTACCTCTCTATAAAATGGAAATCTGCTCACCTCAGAAATGGAAAAAAGCAATTTCTTCCCTTGGGAGAGTTTTTTTTACTTGTTCCTCAAGACAAAAAAGTGTTGCTTGCTCAGGAAAAGTTTTGCTCCCTCAGCCCTGATTTAAAACGAAACTCCCAAGTTTGGACCCACTAGCTCTAATTGTTACACTGTGACTATGCCGCCTGGCAAGAAAGGGGGAAATGGTTGTGGCTTAGAAGTGGCTGCCATGACCCCTTTCATGTGGGCTTTGAGTGGTGCAGATGATCATGGTGCTGTGGATGTGAAATCTTTCCACTGTTTGTGAAAGTGCTTGAGTGGTGCTGCAATATATAAACTTTCCTGGGTAGCCACAGGTGTGAAATTATTTTGACCATTGCCTGCTGCCCTGATTGTACGATCAGCCAATAAAAAAAGTTTGTTGAATCTGAATCGTTGTTACATGCAGGGGAGGCGGAGGGGTGGCTCTGGTTGATTATGCTTATTACATTGATGAGTGGAGCTAAGAGCTGATACAAAGGAGAGGTTCCATCGTTTCTGTTTTTAATTCAGAAGCCCGGTGAGTAGGCAGGTGAACTTTTTTTTACAGTGGTAACTGGCACTGATGGGTCTCAGGGAGCTGAGAATTTTTCAGACTTTCAGGCAGGATCATAACTGTTTCTAGGGTGCATAGAGAGCCTCCTTTCTAGAAGAGATTTGCACATTATAATCTCAATCTATTATATTATAATAGAGCGTTAAGCATAGAGTTTGTTGTCGAGGGGGGGGGGGGGGGTATGCGCTATACCAATGCTTTTTATTTTTAATTATTATATTACATATATATATGTACTAATTTTATATATGTACTAATTTTCTCTATCAGGAGAATTACAACAATGTCCCAACTGTGGCCAAAGTGACAGGCATGCTTCTGGAGAGGGACACGAGCACAGTGAAACATTTGCTAGAAGACAGTCCCTCATTGATCGCTGGCGTTGACCAGAGCCTCCGCTGCCTAGACAACGACACCAGCACTCATCATGTTGACTTTGCTCTGAACAAGTAAGGTTGACTAATCGGAACGATAATATTGCAGTTTAAGGTTCTGCTTTAATTTTTTTTAAAATAAAGTCAAAATTGTCTGCGACCGGCACCCATATAGAGGAGAGAAGGGGTTGTCTTAGACAGGTGGATGGTCTCCCACAGTGTCTCTGGTCATTTGTGCATGTGATTGTCTTCTCACGGTTGGCTGTCAGAGCAGGTTTGAAAGTATCTGGACAGCTCTGCAAGTTTCAGTTTCTAATGGGAGGGTGTCTATTGTTGGCCTGACTGCTATTGTATGGTATGCATCTTTTCTCAGTTCATAATTCCCAAGTATGGAAATCGATAGTTTGCTGGCTTTTATTGTTCTGTTCAGCCAAGTATGTTTTGGAAATGTAGCTCTGCTACTACTATTTAGAAAGCAGTGGCCCAGCTTTGCAGTTGAAGTTGCTGTGGGTTACATGTTCATGTTAAGCCGTGTTTCAAAAAGAACTTGATTATAATGTTCTGTGTGTTGTTTTTCTGAAATTGCGCAGAACATTTAAAGATGACTCGTACATAAAGATATATTTACTGTGAGCTGGCGTTAGGTGTAAATGGCCTGAAGTAATCATACACTTACATAAAGAAACAGTTAGAAAGTAATTCAAAAGTCATCATGTATTCTTACTTTTGAATTACACTCTGTTTATTAAAGATGATGTTAAAAGTTTTTCTCTTAAAATTCTGCTTCTTTTCCAAGTCAGTTTTAAAGTGTGGATTAATCATGATTTATACAGTGAATGAATCCAGAATAGAAAGCTTTGTTGGACACATTCTAGTCTTTCTTCTTTTTGAATAATATGTTCCAGGATCTGGACAATAAAGATGTATCTTATCTTATCTTATCTTATCTTTTTAATCATCTCATGCTTTGTGCTGAGGAAAAGAAGATCTGCTATGTACAATATGGGGACAAGATATACCAAAACAGTCTGATATCTATGTCTCAATAGATTTGTCATCGCCATTTGTGTTCTCTTTTGACTTTGTCTTAGTTCTCACCTGGACTATGGCGACATCGGAGACCTTCTATACGAGAGAGTTCTGCAGATAGACAGCAGCCTAGCTCCGCAAATTACAGGTATACTGAAGTCAACTTTATTTCTTATTCTTTATTTTCCTGAGAGTACATATGTTCACTGTTTGCATTTTGGGAACTGTTGCGTTTCATCCAAATTGATAGAATGAAAATCTTTTCACTTTGTAGTTCAGGGCCTTCTTTGTATTGTTTACTTTCTATTTAAAACTGCCTTCTTCTGTTGAGTTGGTGGATTGCGGGTGCTCTTGTATGGCTTGCTCCTTCCTACCTATTAAACATTTGTTGTCCTCATCGCTCCTACTTTTTATTTTTATTGTCGTATGTTACACTCTCTAATAACACTTCTAATCTTTGACATTCATTTAACCTAATAATGTTGCAATTGTCGTAAAACTCTTATGAAAACTTAACAAAAAACTCTTCTATTGAGATGGGGGAAAAAGCCATGTTAGTCTTTTGTTTTGTTCTTCCTTGGAATTACCATACTTGTTCATGTGTGATTTTCTGTGTGTGCTTTAAACCCAAAGATCAGGCTTTCGGAAGTATTAGATGCTCCGTTCTTGTTATAACCTTGTATTGTATTGTAGGAAACAAACACTAAACTCATCAGTGCACATTTGAATAGAATATACCCCAAAATGACCTTGAATTGAAAAATGTGTCTTTGGCAAGACTTGAAACACTGGTCATATAAGACATTAAGAGATAAGGACAATAGATAATTGTTGATAGGAAAGAAGTAGCAAACCGCACCAGAGCACCCCCCAACCACCCTACTCTTTCATGTTTGAAAAGGGGGAGAAAAAAAAAATTGTGTTTCTATCTGTCATAATTTTTCAGGGATGCTACTGGAGCTGGATGTCAGAACTCTTATCACGCTCCTTGAGGACAACGGCAAACTGTTTGCTTCAGCAGTTCACAAAGCCAGAGCAGCACTTGGGTCTTCTTCATCATCACCACCGCCACCAGTAGAAGAGATCATGACCTTGAAGTCCTCGGGATTTTCCTTTTCTGATCAGGAAGAGATGAAAAAAAATTGTGACTTAGGTAGCAAACTCTCTGTGGAAGAGATTGGATCTCTGGTGTATCAACAAGCAGCGGCTCTCTATCCGGAGTGTGCCTCCGAGATAACAGGTAAGTGCATCAGTAGCGTGGTGGTTGGGTTCTTTGTCTTATACACAAAAGACTTCAGTACGATTCCACAGAGGTGGTATTTTATTGAGCGTCTCCATCTTTCCTTCTGGTCAGGTTGATCCAGATGACCATGGTTGAAGCAGCATGTCTCTAAAAACACTTTCAACAGAAAAATGAAGATAAAAACATTGTAAATTGTTTTGTTTGTTTTATATTCTTAACAGCAAAAGAAGAAGGGGGGGGAGGTGTTTGCAAACTTAGCAAACTAATGGGACAACGTGTGACTACTTTTCAAGCATGAGACAATGAGCATGTTTACATGGAAATTTTGTGTTCTTGGTGAGAGGCAATGACAGTGGTCATGTAGACAACACTAAATTTTTTCTTTTACATGTTTATTCTTTGTATTTTTAAAACATGTACATATAGCAAAATTCATACATAATGAAGAAATGTCCGCTTCCCGCACAGATATCGTTGTGTGCATGCTAGACTAAATAAGTTAGGATGACAGGTTCTTTGTTTATTGGTTTTTAATTAAATTTTAGTATAATACTCTTAATGCTGCGAAACCTGCTTTAATTTCTGAGCCACTGGTGGCTCATTATCACGTCTTACTTAAAAAAAATTTTTTTTTACCTCTGCTGATTATTTATCTGTCTGTTTTCCAACTTCCACCTTTTAAATGACCTTGCAGTGTTTGTTGTTGTTATCGATCCAGACCTTGCAGTGTTTAAAAGATGTGTTATACCCATATAACACTCCCTCCCTCTCTGCCTGTCTTTTATTTAATGCTGAATGCTGAATATAAGGCTGAATACTGTTAATATGTTGATGAACTTCTTTTTTCCTCCAACAAAATCAATAATTTTCTTTATTTTGCGTCCTTCACACAGGGATGATCTTGGAAATGGGCCCTGTTGCCCTTCAACGCTTGGTAGCAGAGGAAAGGCAAATAAAGTGTGCTGTAGAAAAGGCTTTTACTGCTTGGAGAGACAACTCCTGACAGCTTGTCAAAGTTGATTCTATTACAAAATGTGAGCTTGATACATGACTTGTATCACATAGGAAGCCATAGAAAGTCTCCTGACTGACTGATCAAATTTAATACCCTTTTACTGCAAATTTTGTGGAATCGATACTCTCTGTGTTATGTCAATGTTGGATATTTTGTCGGAAGACATTTCATGGGGAGTTCTAATGAGTATACCTGTGTTTCCAAATGGGTGTATCCTGCTTAAACCACTTTACACCTGAGAGTCAGGTTCGAGGCTACCCATCTCCAAAATGATAAAGAAAAGTCAGGTGACAAAACTCCCAACTTCACAGCTTGATCGGTCTCAGAAAATCTTCATTTGATGTTCTGTTTACAGCTCAGCTTTCCCGAAAGACAAGTTATCATGTGCCATTTCTGAGTTTCTTTCTTTCCTTTGTTTCTCTATTCAGAAGTGCCTTGAGCTTGTTCACTGGGACTTGTCTGGTTGTTCTAGAAGGTTTCATTTGCACCAAGTCCGTTTTGAAGAAGATTTTCTAGCGTTCAAGTATGATTACTCATCTTTATCATCCTGCATTTTTGGGGTATCTAGTGGTATTTTGCCTAGTTTTCTACGTGTCTCTTTGCTGGGGTTATGCTTTCTCCATTTTAGTCTTTGACATCTAATTTTTTTCTTCCCTTTTGGTCTTACTCTTCCTCTTTTTCTTGATGGTTTTACCATTTTCTTCAAGGAGTCGTGTCTTCATGTATATCTCAAGTTATTGAGCTTTTGTGTTATGATTAAGGTAAGCAATAGGCTTTTCTTCATGTTAAGCTGTAACAGGATCTCATCATTCAGCGTCGTTGTGATACCTACGTGACACTCGCAGCACTTTTTGGTCACATGTCATTTGAATATTTTGTAACCTGCCTGTGTCCTCTTTATTTGTTGTCAGTGCTGCACAGTTGTACCTCATAGTTAGAAAGTGGCTTTGGTGGTTTAGTGGTTATACAGTCCGTGCCGGCTTTAAGCACGCCGGCTTTAAGCACGTTTCGGACTCAAGCACACTAAACGGCTCTTACCGAATTTTTGCTATATAAATTACACGCCTATAAGCACGGTAACTTCGACTTCAAGCACGCTTCATTTACAAGACAGTCAATATTTTCATCGAAGTTCGAATACAGTTTACACCGCAGCAGTGGAGTGTGTCAAGAGAAACACAAAGAACGCAAGTGATGGACACACACTCACACGGGCGGAGAGGAAGGCAGAGAGATGCACACAGCCGTGCGCGCGGACACAGGATCTAGCCTAGGCCTAGGGCAAAGCTACACACAATAAAAAAAAAATACAAAGAGGGTCGGGGAGACGAGAAAGGCTGGCTGGCTGCGATTTCACATTTGACCCTCGCTTTCCATTAATCCTGATTGTGTATCACGCGCGAGGTGGGATGAAGGCGGTGGTATAAGTGGCACAGCGGGCAGTGGTACGCACAGGCAGTGTGTTACAGTAGGCCTAGTGTGCTGTATCGTGACTGGCCGTCTAAATTAAGTTTTCATTTCCCATTCGACCACAAAACAAAAACAAACAAGCGAACAAAAACTACCATGGCGGGTGTCTAAATAACAGTGCACACTTTTGCGGGACCGCTATAGGCCTACTTACAAACAAAGGGAAACGGCACGGGGAATTTTCTACATGAAAATCTCTGGATTATGTCTACTTCGCACTTAAGCACGCTTCGGCATTAAGCACGCTTAAGCTTTCTCCTGATGACGGTGCTTAAAGCCGGCATGGACTGTACTGTTATACACTTGGCTTGGACTCTCAACCGTAAGGTCATGGGTTTGAATCCCATCAGATGCCCGACATTGTGTCCGTTGGAAAGGCGCTTTACACTAATTTTCCTTACTTTGCCCAGATGAGAAGGGGTACCTGTCTATAGACAGCGAAAGATTTTGTCAGTCTGTTAGTGTTTGTTAATCGGCTGCTTGCACTGTATGCTTCCCGTGAAGCCAATAAAGTTTCAGACTGTTCTAGGATGTGCATGGGTAATACTGGTTGTAAAACGCATGGAGCATTATGTAGAGCGTGGATATGTGCCCTATGAATACAATTGTTATTATAAGGAGGAGTTTTGTATTGACTTTAATGAATACTAATATGAGTAATGTTCTGATGTTCCCATATCATTTGTAGTTTGTACAGCATTTGAGGTGCAATTACTATTCTCTTCATATTTCTAGTCTGGACTTTCTATCTCTAGAGTACTTACTCTTTAGTGTATAAAGTTGGTAACACTTCATCCGGTTCTCCATTTATTTCAGTAATGTCTTTATATTGCATGTATCCCTGCCTGTTATCCATATTTTGTTTGCATTTAATTTCATGCTGATATTTAGTGATAGAAATGGGGATGCAGGTATATTGTATATATAGGCACTTGGACATCGTATTCAGTACCAAAGGTCATCTTGTAGTGCCAGGGGTTGCTGAATATTGTTAATTAATAGCGATGCTATTTTGATTTGCTGTTATTCGCACTTGTTTTAATCATATTACTGAGTCCTGAGGATCGAGGAGGTGTCATAGTAAGTAGGGTCTGTACACCAACGGAAAAAAAAGGGTTTGATTTTTTAAATGAAGAAAATAATTTACAGATTGTCCCTTTCTTTCTGCTGGGTTGTATCCCACACAGCCCAGGTGCTGAGACAAGCATTGTGGGAATAGCCGTCCTTGCTAGATGGTTTATATCGTGTTCATGGAAGCGTACGGCATAGGCCTCTGACATTACCTCACTTTGTAGTTCTTGAACAATTCTGATTTTGTTCGTGCTTCCATTGATACAAAACCAACGTCTGTGGTGTGTAGCCTAGATGACTAGATGTTTTAGGGCTCTTTCACTTTCATGTTTCACACTCCCGAGAGGGGAGGTTTATTTAGTATCCCCGTCTGCTGGGATGTTGTTTACCTCTCAGTCCAGTTTGGCTCTGACAGGCAGGGCCGAAGCAGCCCATCTGTTATTTGATTTAAAAAGTGTTGATGGGAGTGTAAAATATTTACAGTTACATCACTGACACCCAAATGTTTTGAATGGCTTTTGCTGTTTACTTTGAATTTCTAGTTCTTTCTCATCTGTATTTGTTACATGGAGGAATTGCAGGGTATCTGTTTCTAGCTTTTGCTTGTGTAAAGGCTGAATTTTTTAATGTATTTCTTGGTTATGAAATAAAAGATTTAATCTTTGGTTTTGAACTTTGTTTTATGATGCTTTATTTAATACAAACTGAAACATACTGCTTGTATTGTCACGTAATAAGTTATGTTGGAAAGGCAGATCTTGTTGAGCAAGTCTGATTTATTTGTATTTTGAGCTCTTTTCAGAATGATAGGCTATTTGAGTCCTAGTCCGGGCAAAATTAAGAAAAATAATAGCTTCCATTCCCCCAGAATATTGTAACAGTAGCCTACTATCTGATTCGAGAAATTCAGTTTGTACATAACTGCCTAAGAGTAAGACCACTGGCACATTGTCTTTAGGCCATTCCCAAAGGGGGGGGGGGGGGTCTTCTCACTTTTTGCCGATTTACCATGCCAGAGATTTACAGCTGTCCCGAGATCTTTGAGCGAGCATTCATTTCTCTTCAAACGTTGCCTGGCAGGTGCAAGACATTTGGTTAGATACGATTTTCTCTCTCTCTCTCTCTCTGTCTCTGTCTCTCTCTCTCTGTCTCTGTCTCTCTCTCTCTCTCTCTCTCTCTCTCTTTTTCTCTCTCTCTGCTTTAATTTTTTCCCTGAACCCCATCTTTTTCGGGCTTTGTCACTGTCTGTCTGTCTCGTTGTCTCTCCCCTCCCCTTCTATATATCTCTGTCTCTATCCCTATCTCT